CCGTTTACCTTGTACCTAGTATGTACCGACTCAGAATAATGACCTCTTTTCATATATGTAGTTTGTATAGCAATAGGAGGGCGGCGTACAGTACCGCACTCGACTTGGGCTTTCGCGGCCCAGCCAGCGGCTGAAATTTGCTCTCCGGAGACCGGGCCTGGCTCCCCGGTGCTTTCTAGAAGTAGTAGGCTTACCAAGCGAACCTAGAAAAGCACTCTGAGTCGCCGGCGCGCCCGGCGCGCTCGATACAAGGGGCGACGAGCTCGATACTAGTGGGCTACTGACCCTGTCGGTTACAGTACCCGTACATATTTGGTATCTACGAGCTCGTACTAACGAGCACTCTCCAAATCCAGCATCAGCTACGCGTAGGGCGAGCCCGATACTGTACGTAGCCAGACTTGACCGTTTCGCGCCGCGACGCGGCTCCGGCCGTTGCCGGCGACGCGTCATCGTCGACCGTTGAAGTCGTTGCCGCCAGCGTAAGCCGCGTACGTGGCGTATACAGTCTATAGGAGGCAATCTGCCTTGACAGAACTCAAACAGTGTTATATAGAAACATTTTAAACAGCCCGTTAGGGCACATTCACTAGTTAAAGATAGGAGCAAAGGTAACTACAGTAGTACTACGCCTCGACCTCGCCAATCGCGCGCTTCTTAGAAGCACGCTGCTTGCGAGCAATGTAAACATCGCCGAACTGCTCCTGGCGGTGTTGGTTCTCGATCTTGCGAGCCTCAAGCTGCACGTTCGTCAGGCGCTCCCACCTGCAGGTGCCCTCCCGCAGAGCCTTATGGAGAATAGCGCGTTGCCTCGCATCAAGATTGTCGGGATTGGTGACGCGCAGGTCTGGCAGGAACGGCCAGCCAACGAGGTCGACCGAGTAAGCCTCAACGATCTCGCGGTCGAAGTTGCGATAGTTCATGTTGATCGTCTCCAAGCCGAGGAGCTTCTCTGCACGGATTTGAGTCGGTGCGAGAGACACGCATAGGAACGGCGAGCACGTACGAAGACCCAGTCTGATTATCTCACGGCAGAGGTCGCGAATTTTATTGGAGGCCGTCGGGGAAATGAAGCCTAGTTGATAGCAGGTACGTTTAGTAAGCCAACCCTTGGACGAAGGACGAGGTGAGACACACCGTCGATGTCCAGCACCTCTGCGATGCCTGTGATAGCCCAACCCTCCAAGATCTTAGCGAGCATGAGGGGGGTCTTGCGTGCCAATGTCATGCTGCTAAAGAACTTGCTAGCCTCCTCGGTCGCGGAGGCATAGGGAGGGAATGGGAGGGATGTCTTGCCGGGAGAAACGATGATGACGCCCTCAACGCCTCCGGTGACGTGCAGGTCCTTGAGCTAGACTACCGTTAGATATAGAGCAAGAATGACAATGCTTGTTACGCACCAAGTTCGCCATCCTTTCGACAGTCGACTTGATGTGACGTGTAAAGCCTGAACCGGCCTTACGGGCGTCGAGCTCGTCCTTCTCGTCCTGGCGACGACGCTCCTCGAACTCTTTCACGATGGCCGCCTTCTCTTCTGCCGACTTGAGCTTGTGCTCGGCCGCGAACGTCTTCGGGAGCTTCTTGACCCACTCATGGTACTGACCGGGGTGAGGGCCTTGGCCCGCTTGGTACTCTATCGAACAGTAAGCAAATGGGACGCTGCATGCATACGAGATGAACCTACTCTTGAACTCCGCGCTGTACGCGTTGCTGAGCGAGGCGTTCCAAGAGTTCGTCTCGTGCGAAACTACACCTGCCATCCATATACCACCGAGCACATACTGCCGGAACCGCGAACGTTTGCTAAAGGGCTTGTCAGCCAAGAGGGTCAACATTGAAGCAAGGGGGGACGAGCATCTTGAGAGTTTCTTCGGCGTACTTGGTACGGGCCTCGAGATATGCCTGCGTCTCGTTGATGAAGGCCAGCTGCGCAGCGTCGAGGAGTTGGTTCTGAATATGGTGGTCGTTCGATGGCCCGGAGCCAGGTGCAGCAGCGGAGTTGCCCGGGTTCATGGTGAGATGGATGCGGAGGTGTAGGCGGGGGAGGGAAGGGCGACGGGTATCGGTCGACACCTGCGAGTGGGTTAAAGGTCAGCACATTTAGAGTACGCACCTCGCCTGTGAGCCCCAGTAAGAAGCTCGAGCCAATAATGGGCCAGCGAGCATGCAGAAATCAAACAAGGTGACGATCGAATAAACGGAAGCAAAATAATGACGACAAGCCGCCGAATGCCCGAGCCTAGCTACCACCCAACTGCTGCCCTCTCTCCCAGTCAACGACTGCTTTCCTATCCTCTGGGAGGCTCTTCCAAGTCGAGAATCTGCCTAACTGAGCTGCCCAACCCTCACTGGCAGCCTCGTCCATCTCGTTCTTCTCAGCCTCCGTAAAATCCCCCGACTTGCGGAAGCCGTAGGCCACCCATCGGATCAGACTCCCCTGGCAGTACTGCGTGACGCTGTACCTCTTATCACCAGGTGCCAGCTGCGTATTGCCGTGTCGGAGGCCTGCCGACGATAGGAGGATGGTTCGCCCAGCCGGAAACTTGATGTACAGGCGGAGGTCGAACAGAACGAGGTGGCCACCCTCTTCGGCCTTGAAAGATCCGAGTGCCGTGATACTGCACGGTATACCCGCATAGTTGGTGCCGTCGTTGTGACCGTAAGTGACGGAGACAGGACCGAGGTTGAAGGTGACGGTGGGGTAAATGCTAAGGCCCTCGAACGGGAAGCGGAGTTCGGGGTGCACTTCGCACAGCGCCCGAAGGCGTTCGCGAAGGTGTTTGTACACCAACGGGAAATAGTATGCAAGCGCTTCTGCATCTGTGTGAGCAAGCCATCAGGAGAGATGTTATCTTGTAACATACCACTAGCAAAGGCAGCGACGCGCCGCATATTGCCGTCCTTGAGGAGCTCTTCGGCGACGGCGCGATGCCCTGTGTGCGCATACGTCAAGTTCGAAGGCCCCTTTGCTGTTCATAAGCTTACGAGTCAAATAAGCATCATAAATGCGCACCGTTTTGCCATTGCTGGCTGTAAATCCCGTCGCGAATGCAGCAAACACGCCACGATCATGGTTGAAATGCTTGCCGTCTTCCGCAAAGGCGTCGGCGTGCTGTGCACGGGCCCGTTCAAGCGTCTTGGCGAGTTCCACCATCGATTTCTCCCAACTCAGCTTCTCTTCTTGAGCGAGGTGTTTGGGAGGGCCGAGTAGAACACAGATTAGGCGGTTCTTATTGTCGAGGATAGCGATGGTGTCACTGTAGAACAAGTCAACACAACGTAGAGAAGAAGACAGGGACGCGAGCGTACTTGCCGTCCCAAGGCAGCTCTTTGAAGCCGCGCTTCTTCAACTCTTGCACGGTATACACCTTCTTGTCCTTATATGAAAACGAGTTGTATCCGCCTCGTTGGGTGGCGTAGCGAACCTCGAACGTCTTGAGGTTCACGAGCTTGACCGTGCGAGGGCGGGCGTAGTACTTGTTGTCGTTGTGAAGCTTGTCGTACGGTTTGGCGCGGGCAGCGTCGGCGCGAGCCTGAGCACGCTTGAGCGCCTTGCGTCGTTGCTTGTACGCTTTCTCCTTCGCACTCTTCTGCTTAGGAGCTCTGCCGCCGTCTTCGCTACAGCCGTCTCGACCATCCGCGCCGTCCGCCTGCACTGCCTGCGCCCCACAATCACCCTTGGCGCGCTTCCTTTGACGGCTTGCTTTCTTGTTGCCGCGCTTGCGCTTCGCACCACTTGAGGCAGGCGCATCGGGCTGTGGTTCGGGCTCAGAGTCTGATTCGGCAGATTGCTGCGTACTCTCGTCGCAGACTGACGCAGCACGGTGGGTAGATGGAGGGTGTTGCGGCAGGGAGGCGGCTGGGGATTGTGCAGGGGGCTGTCGAGGGGGCGGGCGGTACTCCGCTCGTCGAGGAGAAGTCGCGCCAGCAGAGCACGAGCGGAAACGAGGCTCGTGGGGATGAGTTTGGCCACGACGCGCACCGCGTCCACGCCGCTCTTCTGTCGGCATCCGGGACGAGCTCGGGCGCGCATTGTCGGGCGGCGAAGGGGCCGTATGCGGAGTCGACGGCGGCGAAGGGGCAATATCAGCTCGAGGACTGGCGCGACCCTCCTGTTGCCCATCACCGCCCGCCCCGGCCGCGCTCGTACTCGCCACCCAGACCTGGCGCTCAGCCTCGCACAACTCGACATCCTCCAAAAGGCCGCAGACGGCGTCGAGAACCTCGCGCACATCTGCCGTCCGGCGCGTTTGCGGTTCGTTGGGCGGCGCGTCGTCGTCCGAATCGAGTGGCGTGAGCGGCTCAGTCGGAGACCAGCCATAGGAAGCGTCGCCTTCGTTGCGGGCGTCGATCATGGCGCTCAGCCGACAGGCGCTGCGCATAAGGCGCTCGAAAGGAAGGTCGGTCGCGCAGGGGAGAGCATCCGTGAATTCGGCATAGCTCGCGCCAGAGCGCGTCGTACGAGAGGTCATCTAGGGCAACAAAAAAGACGGTGAGTCGACCGAAAGCATGAAGACGAAGGGGAGTGAGGAGGCTATGCGAAACCGCGGCCACCACAAAGTCACCTCCAAAGGCTCGTGCGGAACCTCCGGCGCGCCAGTGCAGCAACAACAGCCCGCACCACCTGAACGGCAGGATACACGGACGCGACGACATACCTTGTTGAGAGCTTCTGATGCGTCGAGGAAGTGGTGGGAGCAGTTCAACAACACGAAACCACTTTGGGCAGAGATCAAGAATCCGGTCACATGCTCTTGTTGAGTGGCACCAGATTCCCGACCCTCTAACACAGTCGAAAACTCATTTGATATTGCGTCGTATAGATAGGAATAAAATGATAGCACAAGATGGGTCTATACACTACTAATTGTCGTCTGATACATAACCCTGAAGATGGATGGTGCTCCCGAGGGGTCCACAGACAACCCTGCCAGACAATGTCGTCAGAGGCAACGAGACGAGCACTGATTAAACGGACTACGCACCCTGCACCATCGGCAAGAATTGTATACCGGCAACCTCTATAAGCATCCGCAATTACGGGACCTGCCAGGAATAGGTCGCGCTCTTCATGTAGACCGGCGATGATATGGCGGAGCAACTCGCGTCGCTCGCATCGCTCACGCCTCGGCATAGTGAGGCGGCTTTCCTTGAATGTGTAGTAGGCTCGCAGTGCGCACTTGATGTAGTGCGAGTAGCACACCAACCGCTTCTGCGGGCTACCTGCCAGCTCTAGATCTGAGCAAAGTCGCGAATGCAGTGCACGGCCTGCTACCGTCTTCGGCGACCGTTGTGGTTGAGATAGCTGGCGTTTGCATGATAGATAGCCGAGGAGGCCTGGAAGGCTGCGAAGGGGCTCGGGTGCAGAGGCGCTCGATCTGAGTCAAGGTAAGAAACATCAACATGGTGAATTCAACTTTCACGTACCGTATCCCATAACGAAGATTGAAACGAGCCACCTCATCGCGAAGAAGACGGAACTCATCTTGGCTGCCAGATACGGTGAGTTCGAGAAGGCCGTGAAGGCGTACAGGGTCTACGCACTTTACTCGAGGGGATGGATCAATCTGGCGGACATCAAACCCCTCCCCAGTCGTCGACCCATACTCTTTGTAAACAGCCTCCATCACATTGAACGAGTCGCCAACGTAGTCGGGCACTGGGAGCTGGGAGACGATGGTTTTGCGGGCATACTCGGATTCTCGGTACGGAGCGACAGTGGTAGTCATGATGGGAGACGGAAGGGCACAGATCCCCAGAAAAAGCTTGTGTTATCGACTGCGGCCTTGTCGGCGGGGCGTCGGCTCCGGAAAACACTGAGGTTCTAGACTTCTCGATCGGCTCAGACTACAGATGGACAGGACACGGTGTTGTTCATAGTTGTAGCAAGGGATACATTCTACTACCCCTACTCGTCGATCCAAGGCACCGAGAGCATAGTCGGCAAATCACGGTCGATTAAGCTAGGTGAGGCTTAGAATCAGCAAGCCTGCGTTCAGATGTAGGAACACGTACGCTGCACCGTCGCGCAATATACTGTGCCTCGTCTCGCGATAAAGTGCCGCCTTAACCTCACCGGCGATGTAAAGGTCTCTTTCCTCACAGATCCCGGCTATTGTTCGCCGAAGGGAATAGCGCACCCGTTTGTGCTCCGTACGAGAGAGGTCGCCAGGATCCTTTTGGAAGGCCTCGTACGCACCGATTGCACGGAACAAAAACTCGTTGAAGGTATATGAGGCCTTGTCGCGGTCCTTGAGAGCCCGCATCAGACGGCGCCAGAGGTCGCGACACTGCTTGTGCCCATCTTCAGCGATGCGCGGATCGCGTAGACCCTGTGACGAACCGCGCCAGTCGCGGGCGACATACACACACAGACCAGCAAGAGGGTCAACCCGCTCGCGAATCTGGACTCTAGAGAGATTCGGTTATATAAATATTGTGAGAGATGAGAGAACGCACGGGTTGCCTTCTTCGTAACGCTCGCGACGGTACTGTATCTGAGCGGCATGAGCAGCCTTTGACAGATGACTGCGAGTAGCCCTGCTAACAGCTCGTCTCTTGCGCTGGCGCTCTGCAGCTGTCATCGCGAGCTTTCGAGGCTTGCGAGCATTACCGCTGCCAGGTGCGGCAGAAACGGCGGTATCGTTTGCATCCGGGGTGGTCCCATCGTATCTAAACCAACCTGGTCATCGATACTAGAGCACGGGTCCGCAAGTAGACGCACCTCGAGGCCAATACAAAGTTGTATCCATCCACGCCGCCTTCCGAGTTCATCCAGCTCTCCCTCGCACCATCAAGGTGATCAACCATCCCATCTGTGCCACCGTCTCGAGGAATCTTGTCCATGTACAGCAGCAAATAGATAGCAGCGATAAATAAGAATGCGCAAGCACTGGAGAGAAGGTTGATGCAAGCGCGACGTACGCGACGTTCAATGCGGCATTTCGGTCCGTTTCGCCGCAGTGGAAGCCCGCACGGTGCTCTCTTCAAGGTGCGTTACACCTCGAAATATTCATGGTGGATACAAATGTAGGCTATCGTCTCAGCACGTATGCTGGTTAGTGTACTAGATGAATCCCTACATGTCGCTGTGCTGGCTATCACCCCTTCGAAGGTCCTGTCAATATTACATGAACAGACGAATCAAGAGTCCAGCTCACATCGCGATTTCTGAGCGACGAAGCAGATGCGTTCAGGATCTCGTCCTTCTCAGCTCCCATTTGCTTGCATCCAACTTCAAGCTTCACATACTGACACAGCTCCAACTGTGAGAAGGTGCAGGGAGACGAGTACATACCTTAACTGAGCTTCGATAGCCCGATACTCTACTATACAGCTTTATAGCGATTAATTGAATTGTCACGACCCTTGGCCTCAGTGCCTCCCGGCCGCACACACCATTTAGCAGAGAGCTATGCAGTCCACTATATAGCCTAGTAGCAAGAGTGTCCCCGATGCATAGTACACTACTGATGTCGAGCTCATACTGGGGTATAGACGCCCACCAAAAGATATCGCAGCCGACTAACCAAGTACCCGAGATGACCGAACACTTGCGGAGGGCGAGCTCCTAAATGCCGCCGATTAGCTTGATCAGCAGTCTTCATCTCGTCATCAAAGTGTCGGCTGGCTACAAGCAATAGGATTTATCCAGTACACACAAGCTACAGTATACAAGCTAAGATGCCCCTGGTTGTAAAGACTAGAGAACAGGTCGAAGTCTAGAAAGGCGTCAGCAGGGTTCAAATGAAGAAACGAGAAGGGGTACAAACTGGAAGGTTGCAGCCCTTTAGCCGTCCTTGTCCGGGAGCACTGCGACCTCGACCCAGGAAAGACGGCCATCCTTGACGAAGTCGTGCCATTGATCGAGAGCGACCTTGTAGCTACGACAGGACGACATGATGATGTGTGGGCTGGCGAGACGATTTACTCGACGAAGAACACGGCTGCATCGCGTATTCAGATGAAGGTGTGGATGTCATCAACGAGAGCCTTACCTCGACGGGAATACACCGAGCGACGAGCCACGGATAGTAACGTACCAAGGCCCATCGTGCCTTGCAATGTATGCCAGATCTCCGGGTGTGGGGAGCCAGTCGCGCGAGGAGCCAGCCGGAGGCGTGAAGTTGGTTGCTGGAATCCAGCCCTTGTCTGGAGCCCAGCGGGGGTGAACAGCCTGAGGCGCCATTTAGTACTCAAGATCACAGGGACTCGGTAGCACCGTATCGAACCATCATAAGCATGGGAGCCTGCATGCCGAGGTGAAGGTCGTACGCAAACTTCTTGCACCGAGCGATGCTGAGGCCAAACTCGGTCAGGAAGTGCTCGTCATCGAGCTCTTCGATGTTGAGCTCCTGCTCGATGTCGTCCTCTTCCAGCTCTTCATATAGGATAGACGGGTTAACGAGAACGTCACGAGCTCCTTTAGGGGATTCAGCGCGCACGATATCGGGCTCGAGAACGTCGACGCGGCCTTCCCCATTAGGGACAATGCGGCCTTCGATCTGCGTGCGGATGACGCCTTCAGCCATAGAGCGCTGTGAAAGGAGTTCCATGAGCAGGCTATCAAGCTACGAGAAGAGTTTGGCGCACTGTATCGGGGTTTCCATCTGGGACTAGCTGGAGACGCCCACCGTCGCGGAAATAAGCCGCGAGGGCCAGAAACGCGTCCTGCTCCGACAGAAAGCGTTCAGCCCAGCCATTGACATGGGCTACACTGACCAGCGCTTCAGATCTACGCAGCAGCGATGAGTTTTGTGGAAAGGGGGAAAATGGCATAGTGCGTACATTCCCGTCACCCCCACTACTCCAGCACCACGAAATACGACGCAATCCTTCTTCTTCGTCTGCTCCTCGAAGATGACTGCGGTGCGGTAATCAAAGTCGGTATTGATACGTCGAAAGGTGTCCATAGTGTGGAGGGTATAGAGATGGGGAGCAGGAGCGAGCCGGGCCGTGTTGTCAGTCGCGGTCAGGAGCAAGGAGACACAGAGTGCGCTCAGGCGCGAAACAGCGCGAAACTAGCCAAGTCGATGATCGCGCGTGACCGCGTTTGGAGGGTGAACGCGCATCTACGCGCACTTGCTTCCCGCCAACACCCTCTCAGCATCTTCGGTCTGAGTTGGGCTCCCCATTTCGGACGATCTCTTCTGTCATCACATATACCGATCTCCTCGACCGAAACTTGTCGCCCACCCTCGGTGCGTAAACCCTGCTACATCCAAAGGCCGTCGCTTAAAACTGCTCTAGACGTGGTTTGTATTGCTACGTGTTCAGTAGGATTTGGAGATCGGAGTTGAGAGAGTCAAAGCCTTGATGATCTCTTCTACCACGGTGCTATCGATGGTCTGAGGCGACTTGAAGTGCGTCTCTTCACTCGCACTGCGACGTGTTCGTTGACCATTTACTCAATCTACATCTAGGTCGGTCGGATTTTGCTAACATATCTGTATATGTTCTGCCACACCAATGTTTCTCCCCACTGCTCCCCACTCCTTGTGTACTGTACAAATTCTTCCCCTGCCACCTGCCGCCAGCTGGCCGTCACCTTGACCCATGTCTCGTCCCAATTGGACGCTACAGCTTGTATCGGGTTACAATATTCGCCGAGCTTGTTACGGTAGCCTCGCAATATCTAGGGATCGTCAATGTCACATATAGTTCCTGCCAGTCCTATCTAGATTTGGTTGACTTACATACAATAACAAGGTGTTAGGGATTATTGTAAGCTATGTCCTTCCCTACAAGAGTACAGATGAGAACTCAAGAGGCAGGAGTGAAGTAAAATATGTGGTCCCATAGCATGTACCAACCGGTTTCCGCGAAAGTGGACTCGCAGAATAGGTGAGTCGCGCCTTGACGCCACAGCTGAATGATTGGTCAGCATGTTGATTGCTGCGCGCGCTACTTTTCGCACTTGGGCTCTCACTTGCATCGGCGCAATGAGCGGCCCTGGCCGCCCGCGCGCACAGCTTGAGCCTTCGAAGCGGACACTCACCAATGGTGCCGTACAGCTCAACATTAGTGCTTCTGGTTCTAGGATCCCTCTTCGTGCTGTTCGCGCTTCTGCACGCCCGTCATCTGGCTCACTGCCTCCGGCTAGTCAGACGACGCAGCCATGGGGCATCAATGCGCAACGGCTGACGAACTGGCAGCTGCACCAGAAGCAGATGCAGTCCGAAGCAAGTGTCGCAGAAGCCCTCCGCCGTTCTCATGAGCGTATGTCTCCCAAATGATTTTTTCAGTCATTTCCCCCCTCAATTCATGTGTACAGAACGCGAACGATTCGCGGCTGCTCTCATCAGCTTGGGTTTCCCTCCCGATGTCGCCGAGGAGGGCGCCTTCGACGGCTTTCATCTATTCGGCGACGACGACTACTTCGACCCCACGCCTCTTGTATGGGACGACGAGATGTGGGACAAGCTCGAAGATGACCCCATCATCGCGCTTATGGATGCTGTAGGCCTGGGTAGCAGGAAAAAGGAGAAACGTCTCCTTGGGTACGTAGTGTCTCTCTTCCATGGCTATTCTTCGATAGCATAGGCTGACCCCTTTCCATAGGTGGTTGTCCGGCAATGCGAAGGTTCGCCGGGTTCCTCAGTCTCGACGGCAGCGTCGCGAGAACGCAGAGAGATCCTGGCAGACCTCGCTTCCACATCTGACCGCACCGTTCCTCGCATGGACCGCTACCCGCACAACAGTCCCTCCGGCTGCTGATGCCGATCGCAGCAAGATACTCGAGGGCGTTGAGCTCATGAAGCCCGCGTATGTGCTGACCGTGACTGCTCTTCATCAGAATGGTATGTGGCAATTGTATCATACCTGAGATATGACTGACATATATGCGGCTCTAGTGGGTTGTGAGACTGCTGTCAAGATCAATGTCGCAAAGGGCGAGGACGTGAACGTCGCGCTTATGCGCCACGGCTACATTGGAGCAACGCCCGTCGCGCCCGTCTTCGCTTTTCATCTCGACATGTTGAAACATGCTCATTCTGGGCGAAAGGCGATGCCTGGCGCGGGTATGCAAGGCTTATTCCGGCAGCATTGTGATTTCCATGGTGTTCGTCGCACGCATCTTCGCCTCTGCTGCCCTGTGCTGATCTCAATCTTCAGATTCAGTACACCCATGGACTACAGCTCGGGTTCAGGCAGGCGTTCGACATATACCTCGAAGTCCTAGCCAATGTCGATGCTAAGATCGACGCGGCTTTAGGTCGGGGAGAAGACTTCCAGGCGAAGATGGGTTGTCCCGCCTGTGGCAACGAGGTATGCCCCGTTAATGTGTGTGTATAGCCACATACTAACTATGCATCAGGCCGCTGATGCGTCATATTCTGGTGAGAAGCCCTCTGGCCCTCGGCGCTATCATGCTGTCGACGGGTGCGATTCCCACAAGCGCATGAGAGGCGCTGGTCGTGCAGACGAACGTGAACATCGGTCCAAGATCTTCCTCCCTCGCACTTTCGTCGATCGTTTCAAGGACGAGATTCTGCGCCGCAAGAACAACGCTCGCCGCGCTGCGGGTGCCGCCGGCCCTGACGAGCCTGCAGGCGAGGACGACTTCGAGGTCGATGAAGCTGGCTTCGTCCGTTTCGACTACGATCCGTGCGCCGACACTTGGAAGGCCGCGAACGGGAAAGAGATGCCGCCCGCGACAAAGGAGGCCCTTGACCAGTCTGGCGTCTTTCTCGTTGTATGCCGTCATGGGATAGTTGAGGTTGTAATCGAGATGGTCCAATCTGGCGAGCTGTGAGTACACCCCTCTCGATTACCGTCTCATGGGCTAAATCACCTCGAAAGCGCGAAGTACGGCCTGGCCGCCTCTCGATGGATCCTTGATACCTATGGGATCAACCAGCTTCTCGCCTACGACATTGGCTGCGTCTTCAAGGGTACGCTTGGCCGTAGCTCGATTGGCGACGACGCTGCGAAGATGGGCATGCAGGTTATCGTCGACGCGTTCCATTGTTGGGCGCACAAGCGCACCTGCCAGCTCATGTTTCACCCGCTCTACAGGCCCCAGGTCATGGGCCTCGAGACGATGTCAACCTGCGAGCAAGTCTTCTCGGTTCTCAACTCGTGCGCTCATATCACACGCAACATGTCCGGCTATCGTTGGAAGCAGGCTATGGATATGCATATCCGCAAATCCAACGATGACCGCTACGCTGCAGCCGGTGAGGCTTCAGATATATAGCTTCGTGTTCTGTTCGAAATTGACCTTGACACTAGGTACCTTCCTCTTGCAAAACATCAAGCAGGCGCATCGTATCATCGTCGAGAATATCGGTGCCGTGAATCTCTTTCTGGAGCGCCCAGGCGTCTCTGAGGAGGCGATTCGATCTTGGATCAAGGAAGAGCTGGAGTTCCTCAAGACGACGACGCGCAAGGAGCCCGAGGAGCAGACGGTGCTCGTTGAGTACGCTAAGAGCCTCGAGAAGCTGTGGGAGGCAGAGTGCGTCGAATCAAGGGTTCTGTGGTGTATATCTCTCTGACATCTCTCATAGCGAAAAGGCGGCCGATACTGCACGTCAGGCCGCCGACCATGCCAAGATCATGAGCGACCCACAACTGCGCGCCACGGTGCCCGACGCGACGCTCAAGCGCGGACGACTTGTGCGCGATTTAGCCGCCGCCGAGCGCGCCGCCGATCGCTGCCGAACGTCCGTCGAACATTGGGAGGGTGTTCTCGACATCACGGAGGCCGAGCGATGGAACAAGTCGACTCCGGAGTATGAGAAGACGGCTGACTACATACGCAACAAGAAGTTCGTCCGAGCCGCAGAGGCAGTACGGGGCGCTGTCATCTCTAGGATGATGGAGCTCGAAAAGCTTCACGCCTGTGGCATCAGTGCGTATCGACCGCTGCTCTCTTCTAGTTCGTCCTGACTGAACTGAATGGCAGGCTACAAGATGCGGGTCCACATCTCGACCGCTCTATCTCGCCGTACTCGCACACTTAAGAATAGCATCGACACATACAACGGCCTCGCCCCAAAGCACGACGCGCCGACCATCCAGTACGAGGAGATCATCAAGATGACCGACGTCGCCGAATTCGACCGCATCATAGCCGGAGTACACAACCTCGAAGGCAGGCTTTGGGCGCGCTCCGAGTTTCACGAAGCCGCAAACCTCTGGTGGAAGGTGGAAGGTGCTCAGGCCGAGCTCAAGCGTTGCTTCGCGGAGGCCTGGCGACTTCAGGACTGGGTTGATCGGGAGGACAAGCAGCTCGACGACACTGTACGTGAGCTTCGCCTCACCGATCCCCATCTTGCGTCCTATCTGGACAGCTATCGTTACCGTCGGCTCGCCGTGAACGACGCCATTCGCGGACGGTTGGAGGAGATCTACAAGCAGCCGGGCTGTCCGACCCCACGGCCCTCCCGTACAGTCCCTGCAAAGCGCAAGGCCGGTACTTTTTTGGATCCAGACTCTCCTGCTCTGCGTACAGAGCCCCAACCTATGGACGTAGACGGTGGCGCGAACACTCAGACGGGAGACGACGATGATAGTGACGACTCGGAGAATGAGGAGGATGGGCCGGTGGAGAAGCTTGCAGGGGTGTTGCGGAAGAATATGGATATATGACCGGTGTAACGACATATATTTATTGTATATGTATTGTTTGTATAGTAGTTTATAGGATAGTCTACGAGATACGGGGCGAACGCTGGCGCCGACGACTTGAACGGCCGACGATGACGCGTCTCCGGCAATTGCCGGAATCGCGTCGCGGCGCGAAGCGGTCAAGTCTGGCTACGTACAGTATTGGGCTCCCCCTAGACTTAGCTGATGCTGGATTCGAGAAGAGCTTGCTGGTACGATACCGTGCATACCCAATATGTAGCCATACTCCGACGAGCGGGGCCAGTAGCCCACTAGTATCGAGCTCGGCGCCCCTTGTATCGAGCGCGCTGGGCGCGCCGTACAGTATCGGGCTTGCCTTACGCTTAGCTGATGCTGGATTTGAAAAGTGCTCGTTAGTACGAGCTCGTAGATACCAAATATGTACGGGTACTGTAACCGACAGGGTCAGTAGCCCACTAGTATCGAGCTCGTCGCCCCTTGTATCGAGCGCGCCGGGCGCGCCGACGACTCAGAGTCCTTTTCTAGGCTCGCTTTGTAAGCCTACTACTTCTAGAAAGCACCGGGGAGCCAGGCCCGGTCTCTGGGGAGCAAATTTCAGCCGCTGGCTGGGCCGCGAAAGCCCAAGTCGACTGCGGTACTGTACGCCGCCCTCCTATCGCTATACAAACTACATATATGAAAAGAGGTCATTATTCTGAGTCGGTACATACTAGGTACAAGGTAAACGGGCAAGGGGAAGGGCGGGAACGAAGGAGGGAGCGAGCTCGCTGCCTCGGGCAGCGAGGACGGCGCGGCCGAAGGCCGTTCGGGCGCTCGCGGCTCTCCCGGAGCGAGCCGGACCGCACTCTATGCCGAAAAAGGGAATCGTCAGCTCTGCGCTGCTCTACGCCCGCATCTAGCTCGCGATGACGACATTTACCCCTTTCCCGAAGTGCAGGTTTTGCGCGGTTAGTGCAGGTAGGCGGGAACACTGCTGCGATGCAAGCGTAAAGCCGCGCCATCAAGCTTGCATCAGAGGAAATCAGGGGTTGACACTCAGGTGCGTCACAACCAATCATCCTCCTTCCCCCACGAGGGGAATGTATTTCCAGCATATACTTCAGCGCGTGACTATACACTGCTCATGATAGGACCGATCTAGCTTCTGTGGCTGCTAATTCAGGTCTCCGTTCGGTTCTAACTTGGTCCTCTTTGACCACTTGGAAGCAGAGTCTTCGACGCGCGCCGCATCTGCTGAGCAATGCATACCGCAAGCGTTTGTGCTGAACCCACGGGCTGGGTCATACGCGCGGACCGAAGTCCTTCGCACGTTCTCTAGCTCTATCTTGCTCTATCTGTACTGAGCAACACCTGCGCCACCGGCTGTCGTCTCTTACGACAGCCTTCTATCGACGTTTATCTTCTTCGTCATGGGCGCGCGCAAGAGACGAACGTGCATGGAGTCAGCTGAATATGTGGCCCAGGTTTAGGCTACATAAGACGCCATGAACGTCGTTTTCTATGAATACTGCTGCATATCGAGGTCGTATCAGAATGCTCGGCTTTCGCGTCTTTGCTTGGGCCACGGCCGCCTCTGCGACAGCTCTCCTAGATCGCAACCTTGCCTATCGGTCGCCTTTCGGAGATCACCCGCAGGTACGCCAACTCACACACCCTTCGTCAACTTGACTGAATGGGACTTCAGTTCTCGCATGATACACGGTCCATACATGCCCGCCATGTGCACCACGCCCGGCGGCAAGTGGTAGATGCGAGCGGTCTCGTCGACGAACACTACCCAACTTTCTACGGCGCAGACTTCAGCAACGTACGTTCAAAGGCGGCCCGCTACTCGCGACGCCTACTGATCTTTCGCAGAGTCCCTTCGTTTGGAGCGGCGGCCTGAACTTCACTCACTCGGTTGCGAGTGTACGTAGCCGCATCCCCAGGCTTCTGCCGCGGCACGCCCTGACGAGTTCCCACAGGGCGATCCTCTCAACACATCAGTCTTGCTATGGACGCGTGCTGAGCCGCTCTCTGAGCCATCAACCAACCAATCGCCCGAATCGGTCCCCGTCTGCCTCTCATGGGCGATCTTCGACAACGAGGCGCTCACTGGATCGCCGGTCGACGCTGGGCAAGCCTTCACGTCGTATGACGTCGATTTCACGCTCAAGGTTGAAGCGGCCGGTTTGCAAGCTGACACGCTCTACTGGTTCCGCTTCGCGGACTGCACGGATCCGAGTAGCACGAGTCCTATTGGGCGAACGCGTACCATCTCCAGTCCAGATAGTGAGTGACATGCGTGTTATACAAACTGACCACTAGCTAACGGGTCTCAACAGCGCCCGCGGACCAGGTCAATGGTGGGAAGAACCTCACGCTCGCCGTGTTTTCCTGCTCGCAGTATCAGTCGGGCTGGTTCAACGCCTATGGAGTGGCTGCACATAACACCTCAGCCGACATCTTCGTTCATCTTGGAGACTACGTACGTCTGATAGTGTGACCTATCTTGCGTCTCATCGCTGACACTGTAGCAGATCTACGAGTCTCTCGGCAATGGGTGTGTTCCAGCGACATAGAAACCGGTTGCGGGCGCTCTCTGATACATGACCTACCGCAGCGCGCCCATTGGGCGTCAGACTCTCGGTCGCGAACTTGCCACCATCTTTGACTATCGCCAACGCCTAAACCAATACCGAACGGACGTAAGCTTGCTTACGGCGCACCAGTTCGCTCCTTGGATTACCGTCTGGTCAGGCTTCGGCTTCACGTTCGATGAAAGCGAATGCTGACTGCGTGCTCAGGGTAAATCACTATTGATACTAAAGATGTAAGGTACTATGCTAACGCTGCAACCTTCAGGATGATCATGAAGTCGCCGATCAGTCGTGGAAGGCGGGCACGGCCGATTCCAACGACTCTCACGTTGGCTGCACCTTCTCTCCCTCCGGCGCCTGCTTCACCGACCGCAAGCTCGCGGCCGTGCGCGCCTATCATGAGTGGATGCCGGTGCGCCAAGTTTCCGCGGACGACAAGCTGCGCATCTGGCGCAACTTCCAGATCGGCAAGCTGCTGGTGTGTCGCTCGTTCGGGCGCCGAGTGCGCGCGTTTGCTGATCGGCGAGATCTTGTAGGACCTCACGATGCTGGACACACGCCAGTACGACCGCGATCTGACGGACCTGTACTATAATACTCAATGTACGCTAGGCCACCTCCGCTATGCGTCCTCTTGCTGACTTGCACTCGCAGACATCAACACCATCTCTTCCTTCGCGAACCGCTCGCTGATGGGACCCGAGCAGGAGGCGTGTGCGCGCTGTTCCCGCTGCCGCGCCTGATCCGTCACTCACGCTCTCCGTAGGGCTACAGAGTACGCTCGACCAGTCGCAAGCTCGCGGTGCTGTATGGCGCATCATAGGGTAAGCGGACGGTACCCGCATGTACATCTAGCTGGATCCTGACGATTCGCATAGCCAGCAGATCGTATTCACTCAGCTCAACGAGTCTGGCCGGTGTGAGCATCGATCCTGTCTTCGTACCTTCACCGCAAGCACTGATCTTTCGCTCTATATTAGTCGACCTCGACGCCTGGGACGGCTACCGCGCAAACCGCGCTCGCGTCCTTGACCATCTGCAACAGAACAACATCACGAATACGGTCATACTCGCCGGCGACTCGCACGCCAACTGGGTCTCCGACCTCGCCCGTATGTCCCTCCCTTTCCCTCCCTCCTCCCCTCATCACCACTCACTCTCACCCCCCAGATCCGAATGACACGAGCTACGACCCCGCCACGGGCGAAGGCGCGCTGGGCGTCGAGTTCGCCGGAACGGCCGTGACGTCCACATCAGCGTTCGGTCCCGGCATAGCGCCCGCCGCCGCCGACAAGATCTCGACGGCGCTCGTAGCCGCACCGGGCAACGAACAGCTGCAATGGTCCGAGGGCTCGTACCGCGGCTTCTTCACGCTGACGATCAATCCCGAGACGATGACGGCTACGTACTATGCCATGGAGAACGTCTCGAACGCGAATTTGGACAGCTTTGCGAGCGCGGTGTTCGTTGTGAACGCTGGTACGTACCTTGATCGTTGGGAGCGTCAAGGGTCATGATCGCTGACACGGGCGCAGGCGAGAATAAGTTGCAGCGGCCTGTTGCGGGTGGGAGCGTCCAGGCTGGCGTGCTGAAGAGTAGCGTGGTAAACGCCACGACGAGTGACTGAGCGGTTCGCGTGTTGGCGCTACTGTGCATCATACCGTATAACATAGTCTGAAACGAAAATGACCTTTTCCCTGCACTGCATTTGTGAGGAGTGTACCACTCAAGCCGTGGCGTCCACGAGACGGCGCGTAGGCGAAAGCGTGCAGGAAAAGCGGTAGTGTCAGGCGCGCACGGACATAGCGATGCTACGGCGACTCACTCGTTCATATTTTGTATGACGCGCACGCGTATGCGGGCACAGGTAAGCGTACTGTGTGCTCATCACTCACTTATTACTTACTGGACTTGAGGGAGCAGCTTCAGCGCAAAGCGAACGAAGTTCACGCGAGGAATGAGAGCAAAACAAAACCTATGTTCTACAATTGGATGATGCTAACGTACAAAGAACCGATACTTTTGTGCGTGATGCGAGTCCAGAACGTGCGAGTAGAGAGAAAATAGCAACAGGGCAAACAAACGAGACAGCGAATCAAGCAGGCAAGGACAGACACGGGCGAGCCGCTTAGTCGACCTCCTCGACCGACGGGCCGTCCTCGGGCGCGCCGCCTGGTGCGCCACCAGGGAAGCCGCCCGGTGCGCCGCCGGGGAAGCCGCCCGGTGCACCGC